ATTTAATATACTTCTAAACGCTATTTTAATCTTTCTAATTACTTCTCTCCCTGTTTTTCTCTCTGTCTCTATTTCCTCTTCATTTAAAAAAGTCAATGATGATGAAGAAATAAACTAAATAAACCAATATTTGGTTTCGTTTTCTACTGAAGTGACACATAAAAAAAGATAAGGCTTCCAAATTAAAATAAATCTGTCTGACAAAGCAGCAGCTCTCATTTACAGTCGTCACGTTCGGCTCGGTACTTTTCTCCTCTCAGTAGGGTTGTTTACAGCACACACATGATTTCCAGTTAGCTTCTTAGCTTAGCCTCCGTCACAGCGACAACACATACATGCTTCAGCAGAGGCCACGCCTCCTGCATGAAATGCTTGTCTATGCATCAAGTCCAGACCCTTGTACGAAGCAAAGTGAAGGACAAGGGTTTGGTTTTAACCAGGCTAATGTGTATCCAGCTTTGCTGAAATTTGTGTTGTTATTTAAGAAATGAGCCAACTAGATTTCTGTTTTACTTTTTTTAGGATTACAGTTGAAAAAACATCAACAAACAAACAAAMARAAAAGCTACTTAACAAGAGTAAAAGTAATTTGCTGGTTGYGTGGTGTCACAGCTGTCAGCTGTTTGCCCTCAGCAGTCAGGCAGTGTTGATGTGGCGTTGACGCGGCGTTCTGGGGTTTTGAATGTTGCTTTCAGCTCTTTAATCCAGAGAGCAGAGAGGTCTGAGTGACAGGCAGGCAGAGAGGAGCCAGCTGTGACGCCTGCTGTCACCTCTCTGCCAGCCTTATGATGAATTACCTCTCCTGAACGATAGCGCTGGTACWGAGTGATGTCGGCGCAGGATTGTTGTGCCAGCATCTCACCGGCAAACGCAGAATAAATAAATAAATAAAAAACAAACTACCGTGTCTCCCTGTCCTTTTATTTTACAATACCTCCTCTCATACGTCTCCAGGTGCAGCCAGACGGAGGGAGAAACTCCGAGGAAATAACCTCCTCGAGACACAAATATGGTCCAAGTTATGACTGACATCTGCCTCCTGTTGATTTTTCTTTCCTGCAGAATGTAAACGTCCACTGCTGCAGATACTTATAACAAATATCATTACAAGATAATGAATGTAATTTTGACTCAGATGGACGTGAGAAGCTACTCATTTATTAGCTGATAATTGCCCCATATTTGATGCTCATCATCTCCTGATTCTGACTTTAATTTTCCATCTGCTTCCAGCTCAGATGACTACTATGAATACGGACCGAGCGGTGAAACATACGAATCATACGGTGAGTTCCAGACTTTTATTCCACCATTATTTTTACTGTTAGTTGTCAGAAGAATCCAGCGCTGTCAAAAAGTATTCATCCATATTTCTTTAGTTTTGTTTGTTTGTTTGTTTTCACTTATTCATTTCAGATCATCAAACAAATGTTGATATCAGGCAAAGAAAAAAATCAACCTGACCCTATGCAAAAAGTMATTGCCTCGAACAGAACAGACAACCACAACCCTTGGGGCACCTTTAAAAATCATTATACACTCTTTACCATAGTGAAGTAAAGTAAAGTAAAGTTTTATTTATATAGCACCTTTCATAGAAATAGATTCACAAGGTGCTGTACAATCAGAGGCAAATCAAAATAAATACAATCAGAACAGGATATACAACAATTTGGAACAAAAAATTATAAAAGCTGTTGTAAGGAGTGAGCTTAAGGTGAATTAAGCTTTCCCTACATCTCTCATACATAAAAGTATGAGGAAACTTTTACCAAGGTATTTCTCATTACTTGTTAATATCTTGACTGTGCGAAGTGAAAAGTGACACAATAAGTGAACGTTCAGACGAGTTCAAGTTGATTCATAAAAAACTATGCAATCATTTATTTACACAAATAGAACAGATCATAAGTTACACCTGATTGTGTTTATTCCTATAATAAGCTTCAAAGTTAAATGAGATAAAAACTCGCGTCCGAATTTTAATTCACATCAACTCAGATTACTTATATAGAACAGTAAAATGTCAGTTCTGATGTTAACAACCAAACAATTTTACTGGCACTTTCAGATTAAGTTTTGGCAAATAAAGACAAAGGAAAGAGGAAAGTAACGTTAGTATTATTACTAATTTTATTTTATCAAGAGTGTGGCCAACCAGATCAGCACGTCCCTTCGGCACTCAGTTTCCACTTGACACGTCACCCTGAACACGCTCAGCGTTACCTGGTGATGTCTTCTTAAGTGACCCCTGGGTAGTCACTGCTTCACCTCCGATCAGTCAGGGAACTTTTTAATCGGCTCGCTCACTGTTCCTCGGTGAGAAAGGTTTTATTTCAGGTAACTTTTCGTCTGTTTCAGTCCAAGCCAGAAAGGTTCAAATTGTACATCCGGTGACTTCTTTCAAAATAAAATCTCCCCTCGGGAGTTAAAACACACTTTGGAGGCGCGGAGCCTCGGGTGGGACGTCCGGCTGGCGTGCCAAGCCCTGGCCATTAGATCTTCCCTAGTTGGCACATGGGCAAGACCTAACGAGCCAAACTGGCTTCTCCAGAGAGAAACTCAGCATTCCTTCCTAGTTTGGCATCCAGGAAGAAGTGTGGTCACTCAAAGGTGTCCGTGTTAGTAATAGAAGCGGACGACTTTGGTTACGCCCTCAGGCGTTAAGATGAGTCAGAGAAAAGGAAGAAAGGTTAAATTCTGTGGTTGTCCAACAACAGAATATGATAACATTTCTTTAGCTTTTCTCCAGATAGAGTCTAAGAGAAATCACTGCAAAACATTTGATGATTAATTAACATTTGTGTTTTAATCATTCTGAACCATTCTGTTAGTCCAGATAAATGAAAGATTTTCTCAAGAAAAACCCACAATTATATTACTGTGTTCGCAGTAAAATAAAAACAGTGATTTATATAAAAACACAATGAAAACATGGTAATGATTTTCTCTGTGATTTTTATACCATTAATTAATCTTTTAGGCACGATAAAAGAGTAGAAGTGGTTCCACTTTCTTGTGACAGTCATTATCATGATTTAACAAATGCATAAACATTC